AGGAACAGAGGTATTGAGGACTCTGCTCAATGAGCTTACATGTTAGAGGGAGTGGGGTATAGTGACACAGTAACAGCGGGATTGAGGGCCTGCTCAGTGAGTTTACATGTTAGAGGGAGTGGGGTATAGTGACACAGTAACAGAGGGATTGAGGGCCTGCTCAGTGAGTTTACATGTTAGAGGGAGTGGGGTATAGTGACACAGTAACAGAGGGATTGAGGGCCTGCTCAGTGAGTTTACATGTTAGAGGGAGTGGGGTATAGTGACACTGTAACAGAGGGATTGAGGGCCTGCTCAGTGAGTTTACATGTTAGAGGGAGTGGGGTATAGTGACACAGTAACAGAGGGATTGAGGGCCTGCTCAGTGAGTTTACATGCTAGAGGGAGTGGGGGTATAGTGACACAGTAACAGAGGGATTGAGGGCCCTGCTCAGTGAGTTTACATGTTAGAGGGAGTGGGGTATAGTGACACAGTAACAGAGGGATTGAGGGCCTGCTCAGTGAGTTTACATGTTAGAGGGAGTGGGGTATAGTGACAGTAACAGAGGGATTGAGGGCTTTCTCAATGAGCTTACATGTTAGAGGAAGTGGGGTATAGTGACACAGTAACAGAAGGATTGAGGGTCCTGCTCAGTGAGTTTACATGTTAGAGGGAGTGGGGTATAGTGACACAGTAACAGAGGGATTGAGTGCCTGCTCAGTGAGTTTACATGTTAGAGGGAGTGGGTATAGTGACACAGTAACAGAGGGATTGGGGGCCCTGCTCAGTGAGTTTACATGTTAGAGGGAGTGGGGTATAGTGACACAGTAACAGAGGGATTGAGGGCCTGCTCAGTAAGTTTACATGTTAGAAGGAGTGGGGTATAGTGACACAGTAACAGAGGGATTGAGGCCCCGCTCAGTGAGTTTACATGTTAGAGGGAGGGGGGTATAGTGACACAGTAACAGAGGGATTGAGGGCCCTGCTCAGTGAGTTTACATGTTAGAGGGAGTGGGGTATAGCGACACGGTAACAGAGGGATTGAGGGCCTGCTCAGTGAGTTTACATGTTAGAGGGAGTGGGGTATAGTGACACAGTAACAGAGGGATTGAGGGCCCTGCTCATTGAGTTTACATGTTAGAGGGAGTGGGGTATAGTGACACAGTAACAGAGGGATTGGGGGCCTGCTCAGTGAGTTTACATGTTAGAGGGAGTGGGGTATAGTGACAGTAACAGAGGGATTGAGGGCCCTGCTCAGTGAGTTTACATGTTAGAGGGAGTGGGGTATAGTGACAGTAACAGAGGGATTGAGGGCCTGCTCAGTGAGTTTACATGTTAGAGGGAGTGGGGTATAGTGACACAGTAACAGAGGGATTGAGGGCCTGCTCAGTGAGTTTACATGTTAGAGGGAGTGGGGTATAGTGACACAGTAACAGAGGGATTGAGGGCCTGCTCAGTGAGTTTACATGTTAGAGGGAGTGGGGTATAGTGACACAGTAACAGAGGGATTGAGGGCCCTGCTCAGTGAGTTTACATGTTAGAGGGAGTGGGGTATAGTGACACAGTAACAGAGGGATTGAGGGCCCTGCTCAGTGAGTTTACATGCTAGCCAAAATGTTCAGACTTTCAGCTGTTTGCAATAAACAAATTAAACAAAAGCAATTGGAATATCTCAACACAACAAGTGGTTTCCCCAAATTTAACTGAAAATGCAACTTATAATTTCTTCTCCAGTCTCAAAATTATTCATCCCCTTCATGGCAAGTATCTTAAGTACTTAGTAGAGCGCCCTTTTGCTGTTATGACCTGCTGTAAACGAGATGCCTAGCCAGACAGCTCTGGCCGCATTCCTGAGGAATCTTAGCACATTGTTTATGAGCAATGGCCTTCAGTTAAGTGATATTCTTGGATTTGCGTGCCGCAACTGCATTCTTCAAATCTCACAGATTTGCTATAGAATTCAAGTCAGGTGTGATCAGACTGTAATGGCCACTGCAGAATTTTCCAGGACATCTTCTGCAGTCAAGCCTTGGTGGAATTTGAGGTATGCTTGGGATCATTGTCTTGTTAGAAAGGTCCAATGACCCCCAATAATCCATTTTGACTTTCAA